AAAAAAAAAAAAAAAAAAAAAAAGGGCAGAAAATTCCAGGTATGTTTGGGGGGTGTTGAAAAGTGAAAAGGAAAGGGGAAGTCTGACTATAGCCACTTAAAGGGCCTATAGAAAAAAGTACTGATTGAAAAGGAAGAGAAGCACTTACAGAGACAAGAATAGCTACAAAGGGAGCAGGAGAGAACAAAAAAGGTACAGGGAAGCGTGCAGGAAGCAGCCGATTAATGCAGCCAATTAATGATGACTCCCTCATCTTTGATGTTTCTCTGTCTCCCCCTTCCTTTCTCTGAAATCAATAAAGATAAAAAAAGACAACTAAGAAAAGCTAAATACAGACAAAGAATTGCTAACTTGTTTTTTTAAATGAGGAGAGCGGTACCTCCTGGCATTCAACCCACCAGAGATGAACATTAAGGTAGAGGGCAGGTACACAGATTTGAGATTTCCTATCCCCCCTTAGAAGATAGAGTCAAACTAAAAGACCTGTTACTAAAGACTACATAATCCTGTACATTCTGACTTAACACTCAACCATTTTACCTCCTACTGTCCCCAGGTTGAGCTATAGCACTTTCTAGCTAATTTTTTAACATACCGTGTTCCTATTTATGACTACTTATGAGATTACCCTCAGGATAGAATGCTTACTCTGTACTTTTGAAAATTCTACCTCCAAGGTTGCAGTTAAACCCCATAATCTCCATGAACCACTCCAGCCCAGTATTTTTTTCCCTTACCAAACTTCCTACAGGACTTACCACAACTGAGCTCAAAAATACTATGCTGAAGAGCAGCAAACCATTTCACATGAACATTACCTTTGAAAACAATTACAAATCTTTGAGTTCAGGGACTATTTCATATATTGTTCATCTATATAAAGGCACCTAGGACAGCACTAGTAGTTAATAAGCCTTCTAATATACTTAATGAATATAATGCTCTTTAAACATGATCTAGGCCAGAGGCCTACTATTCTGATTTTACTATGATGCATCCTTCTCCATAACTATCGAATCTTCAAATACTTACTGATAAACAGTAGGAAGAGCAGTTATGATAAATCGTCCACTCAGACCTGCAAATGATAAAGATTAGAAATAAATACAAGAAAGAACACACAGCAGGTTTTATATGGGCCAATAACTTGCTACTTAAAAGCTGATTCTGATTTAAATACAATAGGGGAAAAAATATTAAATTATACCTAAAAACAATTGAGCTTTATAACATAAATAATTTAAAAATCCCATTTACGTAAAGTACCTTCAAAAAAAACCTACTACACATTATCTCAAAAAGTAAATTTATATATAAACACTTGATCAATTATACCACTGTTTGATAAGACTACTAGTGATGAATCATGGGGCAGCCAACAGTAGTCTGTTTTACAAAATCTAAGATCAAATCAAATTGCATTTAAGATGCAGAAAACAGAGGCTGCGTTTAAGGTATTAAAAATGGAAAACATGAATCATAAGATGAGCAATAAGAATAGCAGCTAACATTATTACTAACCAAGTGTTAACGTTAATATACTGGAGAATTAATCTCTCTATTCCTCAGTTTTCTTATCTATAAATGGGATGTTAGCTATCTCACAAGGCTGTGTAAGAACTACATACTAAATGCAAAACATTTGTAGTAGTACCTGTAATTGGTAAGTGCTCAATATTAGCTATTATTACCATTTGGAATAGAGGCAGAGTCAAGAACCCAGGTATACCCAAGAACAGGTACGATGAGGCTGGACTAAGAAAGGAGCATCCTTAAGGGCAGGTCCTGCTACTTGTCCAGGGGGCGAAATCAGGAGTCTAATTAACCCCACAACCATGCAGGCTCTATAACTAAGAGACCATGTCCTCATATCACAAGTATTACATCTGGAACCCAACTACAGAGATTCAGACCACTTCTCAAGAAATATGACCTTGACTCTACAGAGAAGGTCAACCACATGCTCCTTATCCTGAAGCTCGCTGTGGATGCAAATGGTGGCTTGGCCAATGTCCACCTGGACCTGTGTTCTAAGACTTCTTAAAGGCATCTTACACACTAGTCTGGGGCCTGGGACACAAAGCAAAAAAGGATCAGAGGCAGTTATGTGGGGAAGATGTCTCCAAGGTCCCTTAGAACACATAAAAGGAATGAGCTGCATACACAACTAAGAAACATGCTTTTTGCAGCCATTGCACACAAAGCCCCCATCAGGGAGGTGGGTGAGTAGGCTTAACTAACTGCAGACAGTTACGTTTTCAAAACCTAATGAAAGGTAGAATTAAAGCCATGTAATGTGGAAAACAGGATAAATATACCAACCCAACATGCAAAGAAACAGAACTATCCACAGACTTACAGTACCTGGCTGCTCTGTAACATCTACTTTTGCAACATTGATCTCAAGATCTTCTCCCCATTCAGCAAAACTTTCCCATTCTGGTTGAAGATTTTGACAAGCAGGACACCATGGAGCAAAACTAAGAAAGATATTTAAAATAAAAAGTTAAGCACTCAAATACAACTATATTGGAATAAAAATTCTTAAATGTATAATTTGTGAAGAATATTTTACATTAAAAGAGAGCAGAGTGGTGAATTTTGTAAAACTGAAAAAGTTTTAAATGTGGATCTAACACTGGCAGTCAAGAACTATGAATTGATGATGCTAATCACATAAAAGCAACTCTGAGAATAAGACACAAGGACTTTTCATATGCAAAACGTCTCTAAAAAAACCTTTGGATTTCTCTATTAAAATGTGGCCAACCAGAAAGCTCACAGCCAAATTTGGAATTCACCAGTTTTAGTAATTTTACACTGCAGGAGTCTCAAATGTAAGGTGCCAGTATGAGAAAAGTAGGAAGCCCCGAGGGCTGTGGTGAATAAGGAAACTTGCACCCCATCTTAAGCAAGAAACCACTACTCAGGATGACTGCCACAAGGGACTGCAGGACCAGTATGGCAAGCTATTCTGACATAAAAGAAGCCAAAAAATCTTCATTTTTACATAGAAGTATTACCTCAAAACGTAGTACATAGACACAAACACTAGGCAGGCCAAACAAAATTCTTTTGGCCAGCCTTTGTTTGGTCAGCTTGTTTTTAAGACCTTAGGCTTACAAATCTATGGCCAATCACATTAGGATTTTAACTACTCCTCGAGTATTCAGCATTTTTCAAGGCCCTGATTCTTCCCTAAGATTTGACTTTTCCACTTTATTGTGCATTATCTTATAATTTGTCTGTTTTTTTAAATGGAACCAGGAAGAATAAAGCCTATGCCTGTTAACACAAGAATAGGTTCTGGCTGGCCAGGCATAGCTCAGCGGTTGAGCATTGACCTAGGATCCAGGATGGAGGTTCTATTCCTGGTCAGGGCACATGCGGGGGTTGTGGGCTCCATCCCCAGCAGGGGGCATGCAGGAGGCAGCCAGTCAATGACTCTCATCATTGATGTCTCTCTCTCTCTCCCTCTCCCTTCCTCTCCCTGAAATCAATAAAGATATATTTTTTTAAAAAAAGAATAGTTTCTGCACTCCATTATACATAATACTTGACTTATTTTATTAAAAATAAATCCCCTAAAAGTAACAGGCATTGTAGAACAAGAATACTAACATACATAAAAGCCAAAATTCGTAACAATAAATAGTATTAAAATGAAAATATCTCTGTAACAAAACTTCTGATCAGGACAGATTTAATGTAAATAACTGATTTGTAATAACTAGCATTAGGACTACTAACTAGATTCCTTTACCAAGTCCCTTTTGTTTTTTAAGTGCTTTTTAAAGACTCAGCCTCAAAATCAGTATACCCTAATTTCATAGAGATGCTCTAATTCAAATAGCCTGTACTTCACTTTTGACTGATGTATTTATAGTATTATCAAACTGAGTTTTTCAAAATTTCCTTCAGTAATGCTTGACTGTATTTTGCATATAAATACACAGTCACTATTGCTTAACACATTATTTATGGAACAGTATTTTATGGACACAATCTAAAACAAGTTCCTCATGACAATAAAAACTAAATGCTATTACTTATTATATTGCCTCTCCCCTGCAACTTCAATGGTGTCTGAAAATTCATTTCATTGAGAACAGGTGTATACTATAAACGTTTCTCCCTGTCTTATCCTCCATATAAATGTTCTATGCCTTTTTTGATTTTATGACTCAAGAGTTACTGATTTGGCCTTCAGATTTCCCCTTAATGCCATCCACTTCCATGTGTCTCCGAAACTGGCAGCCCAACAATACAAGGAAAACACTCACAGGAACCTGGTTCAAGACGGGAGGTGTTCTTAACAGCTATTACTGCAGGCCTATTCTGTGTTAGGCTCTGGAAACTGAAAGGACGCAGTATTGCAATACCTGGACAGGTTAATTAGGTCTCTGGGTATCTCTCATCTGTAAGATGTGGGAAACAATACCTAACTTATAGAATTTGGAGAGAATTAAATATAATAACGTATGTAAAGTATTTTAGCGGTGTCTATAATACACAGTTAATACTCAATAATGGTGTTTTCTTACTAATGCCGCTATCAATAATACTACCACCACTACCACCAATTTAGAAACGAAAGCAAATGCAGAGAGTTTACTTTCTACCGATGCAGAAGGCACTTTATTATAACGGATTCTCCACAGACACATGCTTTTCTTCTAAAGGAACTTACAATCACACTCATACACTAATTTTATCTTTTAATGCAGAACCACTTGGAGAGCATTAAGAGTCACAGCCCAGGACATTCAGTACTCTGCAGAAACACACACCCAAAGAAAAAATGAGAGGTGTAGAAAGAGAAAAGAAAGCAAAACTGATAAAGAGAACGAAGATTTTTAAATAACCCAACTTGAATTTACTTAGCATTTAAAATAAAAATGTAACTGATGCATAAAATAAAATTTAAAACAAAGAGCCCCAAATTCTAACACTATAAATGGACTACCTTTTAAGGATAACTCGACAAAAGGAGAAGAGAGGTTCTGCCCAAATTCCTCTTTTGTAAAATTTGGTGAAAATAAATCTGGGAGTCCGTTAGCGAAAGACCATCCTAAAATAAGTAACTGTATAGGAACTCGTCACACCAACCACCCCACCCCTAAAGCCATGAACTAAAGTGGAGAGAGAACTGAAACGCAACCTCGCAGGCGCGCCCCAGCCCCGGACACGAAACTACAGAGTGCACGCGCTCCGAAGAAACTAGTCCCCGGTTAAAACCAAGGAGGGGTGGGACCGAGCCGGCGGCCGGTCCGCAGAGTTTGGGGATGCGGAGGAGCCGGGGGCGCAGGCTCTGCAGTGGAAGTCCCGGGAACCCGGGCCCCGCGTGACGCGGTGGAGGAGTGAAGTCGGGCGTCCAGACTTGGACCTAGGACCCCGGCCAGCCCAGCCCACCGAGGGGGCCCCGAGACGACCGCCCCGCGCTCACAATTCTATCATCCACTCTCCTTCCAGCAACTCTCTCCAGTTTTTGTCCGTGATGACGCGCACGTTGCTCCGACGCCCGTGGGTCCAGGGAACCCGGCAAAGCAACAGCACCAGTAACGCTACGGCACCTACGTGACTCCCGGGGCTCGCCATGTCGGCCGCTCGCCCACCCCACAGCAAGCGCCGCGGCCCCGCCTCTGCGCACTAGCGGCTCACTTCCGCCCTCCCGGCCTATCTGCGCCTGCGCAAGACCGCCGGCTGGACGCGCGCGCGCCCAGAGGATTCTGAAGGCGCAGGCGGAGGCCATGTTCCAGCTGGTTGAGTAGGGAGAGAGGGAAGCGCGCCTATCCCTAGTGCGCATGACAGAAAAGCGCTCTTTTCTCATAGCCCCAAGCGCCCGGCTATTGTTGGGAAGGAAAAACGGACAGGAGGCGTGGTGTAGAAAGTGGGCGGGGCTTCGGAGAGGAAGCTTTTCATTCAAAGTACTGCGTCAGGATTTGGCGCCAAATGATGGGCATTTTATACTTACACTACCACAGTGTCCTATGAAATCCCCTTCAGGGTTTCCATTTGTTTCCTTTGGAAATTTCTGTAGTGAAGCTAATGGGTGAGTATGTGAGTCCGAATATTGGTTTACTTCTGGGGGGTTCCAGACTGGAAAGGGGCACAGGGGGACCTCGTGAGGCACCCTTTTCATTGCCTTGGTCTGACCAGCAGTTACACGGGGGTACACAAACGCAAAAAGCCAACGGAGCTGTACATATTAAGATTAGTGCGCTTTCGAACGTATGCTTTTTAAGGCAGTAATTTCAGAGATGCTAGATCAGAAATCAAAATACAACAAATACAAATGCAAGTCAAAACGTGCACTGCCGTTAGGCGGTATTAATCAAGTGAAAACGGTTGCGATCGCACCGTCTTACCTCAGATTCTCTTCTGAACTCTCTGCAAGTGGCCGCTTCCCCGCCCCTCCACTGAAAGGCCTTTTCTGGGACACTAGTGATCCGCATGTTAACAAAGCCGATTGTTTCTTCTCAGTATCCGTCTTAGTTCTGACCGCTCACAGCAGTTTACGGTCACACACCCACTATGAAATGCTTGGTCTGCCCTTCCGCGGTGCCTCACTTACTTGTTTTTCCTCCTTCAGTAGCTGCTCCTTCTGAAGCTTCTTGACTGGCCCTCTGCTTGACTTCCAGGCTTCGGCTTATTGCAGGATGCTGTACTCGTCCCCTCCTTCTCTCTACATCCACACACTCCTTCAGGTAGCTTCAATGCTGGCTTTAAAAGCCATCGAAGTGCCCGTTGTTCCAGCCCTGACCCTTCTGGGAATATTGGACATACAGTCAGCTCTTTGCTGGACATCTTTTGGGCATCTAAAGACAGCTCACATATAGCATAGCCAAAAAGTAAAATGCCTGATTTTCCCTCTTCTACCATTTCAGTGAAAAGTTCCAAATTCTATCTGGTTGCTCAAGACAAAAATTTGCATTTTAGTTCTTTATTGCTCTCACTCTCTTCACTCCCTCCTCATGAGCTCCATTAGCAGGTTCCATGAGCTCTACCTCCAAAACATATCCTGAATCTGACCATTTATTTCTTTTCCCACAGCTAACATCCTAATCTATGGTTGTATTGTCTCTCGCCTGGACTACAATAATAGATTCCTGATTTCCCTGTGTCTGCTCTTGCCAATTCTCCTTAAAATCCTCCAAGTGCTTCTTCCCACTGCACTTAAAATTAAACCCAAACTCCTTAAATGCGAGGGTCACCTTTGTTTTCATCTAAGAGTTCTGTAGTTTTAGTTAGGTCTTTGACCCATTTTGAGTTAATTTTTATAGATGGTATTGGATTGGAGGTCCGACGTCTGTTGCATGTGGACATTCAGTTGTCCCAGCACAATTTTTGCAAAAACTTCTTTTACCATTGCATGGTCTTGGCACCCCTTGTCACAAACCAGCTGTCCACAGATGTTTGAGGTTTTTGTTTTTTCCCCTTGAATCTTCAGTTCTATTCTATTGATCTATATGTCCTCTGATGCCAATATCACACTGTCTTCATTACTGTAGTTATGAAATCCTGAAGTGTGAGTCTTCCAACTATGTTCTTCTTTTTCAAGATTGTTTTAGCTATTCTGAGACCCTTGAATTTCCATATAAATTTAAGTCAGCTTGTCAATTTCTGTTAAAAAAGCAAACTGGGATTTTTCAAGAGACTACATTGAATCTGTAGATCAGTTTAGAGAGCATTGCCCTTTTAACAATATTAACCCTTTGCGGTCGTATTAAATTTGGACATGGGTGTCGTACTGGTCGGAATTAATTTCCATTGAAAGAGCAGTGATACATAACATGCAGGATTATGAAGGATAAACAAGATTTATGAACTGATACATGAATGGAGTTAAGATTTGTACGGTTCCTTGCTGTGGTGGCTGAGAGCAGACATACGACCGGAACAGTAAAAAAGCTTTGGTGGCTGAGAGTAAACAAACGACCGCAAAGGGTTAAGACTTTCAGTCCATTAACATGGGATGTTTTTCATTTATTTAGGTCTTCTTAAAATTTTCAGCAATCTTTTATAGTTTTCAGAGTACATGTTTTGTAGTTCTTGGCTTTTTCCTGTTCTTAGGGGGAAAGGCTTCAGTCTTTCATCACTAAGTATGAAGTGAGTGTGTGTTTTTCATAGATGCTCTTTCTAAAGTTGAGCAAGTTTCCTCCTATTCCTGGGTGGTTGTGTATGATTTTCATGAAGGAATGTTGAATTTTGTTGCATGCTTTTTCTGCATTCATTGAGGTGATCATGTGGTTTCTGTCTTTTAATCTATTGATATGGTATATTGTATTGATTGATTTTTTGGATGATAAACCAACCTTGCATTCCTGATATAAATCCCACTTGGTTATGGTGTTTAGTTCTTTTCATATATTGCTAGATTCAGTTTGCTAGCATTTTGTTGAGGATTTTTAACATCAATATTTATAAGAAATATTGGTCTGTAGTTTTCTTATGATGTCTTTGTCTGATTTTGGTATCAGGATAATACTGGCCTCAGAATGAGTTGGGAAGTGTTCCCTCCTTTTCTCATTTTTTGAAGTGTTTGTAAAGAATTTCTATTCTTCTTTAAATGTTTTAGTAGAATTCAGCAATGAAGTCATCTGGGCCTAGGCTTTTCTTTGTGGGTAGTTTTAAAATTACTAGTCCAATTTCTTGCTATAGAGCTATTCAGATTTTCTTTCTTTTTGAGTCAGTTTTGATAGTTTGTGTCCATTTCATCTAAGTTATCTAATTTGTTGGCCTACAGCTTTTCATAGTATTTTTTTATAATCCTTTGTGTATCTGTAAGGTCAATAGCAATGTCTCTTCTTTCATTCCTAACTTTAATCATGTGAATCTTTTCTTTTTTTTTCTCTTGGTCAGTTTAGCTAAAGGCTTGTCACTTTTCAAGAAACCAACTTTTAGTTTCATTGGTTTTCTCACAGAGTCTTTCATGAGGTTGGTTACAAGATGTTGATTGTTGTACAGTCATCTGAAGATTTAACTGGTGCTGGAGAATCCATTTCCAAAGTGGTTGGCAAGTTGATGATGGCTGGTGGGCAGTGTCAGCACCTTTCCACATAGGCCTCTCCATAGGCTGCTTGAGGTCTTCATGGCTGGCTTCCTCCAGAGCAAGCTATCCAAGAAAGCAAGACAGCAGTAGTAATATCTTCTATGAACTTGCCTCAGACGCCCCTCACCATTAGTCACTTCTGTAATATCTTATTGGTCTTAAAGATCAGACCTATCATTGTGAGAGAGGACCACACAAGAGTGTGATACAAGCCCGGCTGGTGTGGCTCAGTGGTTGAGCCTCGACCTAGGATCCAGGAGATCTCGGTTCAATTCCCAGTCGGGCCATATGCCTGGGTTGCGGGCCAGTGTGGGGCGTGCAAGAAGCAGCCAGTCAATGACTCTCTCCTACCTCAGAGCCTCTGCACTTGCTGTTCGCTCTGCCTGGAACATTCCTTCCTTATATGTCCATGGATCATTTGCACACTGTATTCAGGTCTTTATCTAAATGTTACCTTCTGAGAGACCTTTCTTGACTATTCCTTTTATCCCTTTATCCTTTATTTTTTTAATTCTAGCACTTATCACTACTTGACATTATATATTTGTTTGAATGTGCTGATTATTATGCTTCTCCATCAGAATGTCAGTTCAATGGGGATGTGGAGGAAGAAAGCACTTTCGTCTGTACTCCTAGGTTCTTTCCGCTGGTATAATCATTAAATCGACATGAGACAGATTAACAAGAGAAAATAATCAAATTGAATACATACGTATGCAAGGGAACCTCACATACACCAAAGAGAGACCCCAGGAGCAGGAGGTTAAACTGAGGTCCCTATGGCACTCTGAGCTAAGGGTGAGGTGGGATGTCGGGTTTCAAAGAATCACTGCAGGACAATAAGAACCACAGGTGTTCAGTAATTAGAAGCTTGCCTTGCTTTATAGATAGGTCATAAAAAGTTATTTCTGGTGATAACTCTTATTACAAGCAAGACTAATTAAATTCTTTAAGGGAGACGTGAAAGTTTCTCATGAGCTTGCAGGGTCTTGATTGCCTTCAGCTCAAAATAATTCACAGACCAAGTGGCACATTTTGGGGAGGCCTCTTCTGAACCTTAACAAGGACTGTGACTTATTCACCACCTTATGCTTGGTACTGAGAAGTATGCCTGGCTTGTAGTACACGCTCCATAAGTTTTTGTTTAAAAATTAAATAATGAATGCATATTACTCAGCACATTACTTGACCCACGAGAGTTCAATAAACTTTAGCTGGCTTCAAGTTCATCGTCATCAACATCCTTCCCATTATCCCCTGACCACTCTAATATCTCACATCTATGTATACGGCACTTTACGGTTTTCAAATTCTTTTGTCATATAGAGAGAGTAAGTAATAATAGTGTAAAAGCAAAGCTGTGATTATCTCAGCATAGTTGAGATTGATCTGGCAGGTCATGAAATGAGCAAATGAGGTAATTATTCAATGGTAGCTTTTGTCCTTAGCATTATTTTCTATCATCGTTGTCTAATTTCCATTGGAAAGATCTATGATGGCTCTTAATATTCCATAGGTTGAAGCCCAGATACATCAAATTCCAGGCCTTTGGAAAT